TCTCTCTCTCTCTCTCTCTCTCTCTCTCTCTCTCTCTCTCCAGTCAGTAAATAATATAAGTGTATTAATATCCATTCCTGAATCATTTTATACGCTATTTTCTTTTGTATCTATCCCCTCTTTCAGATTGTAAGCTGTTTTGCCCAGTATTTCCTTTCCTGCATTTGGTTTACAACATACTGTAGCAACCCCTTTAGGTGCTTGTAGATAACTTTGGCAGATGCCTGGAGACCAGTGAGAATAAAACTAGTACCATTCATCCCATGGAAAATAGATGTGGGAAGAGGCAAGACAATCGGATCACCCTGATTTTGTATTTTATACATGCAATCCTAATATCCCTGCTCCCATTGCTGTCATAGTGGCTGCCATAATGTATGCCATGGGGATGTCCACCTGTGACTAATATTCAATGTGAGGAAGTGGTTAATGGGCTTTGGGGTAAGCCCCTCTAGCTTGACTGATAAAGCTGCGTGTAGCCAGCGCTAAATTGTGGTCTCTGGACTAATGAATTTCAGGTTTGTTTGCTTCTTTTAAGTGGGGAGGAAGTTCTGAGACTGCAGGGTGTGTTTATTCTAGACTGAGCACTGAACTGTGAGTCTCATTAAAAGGGATGCTGTCTGCAGAGAACTGCCCTATCTCTGGACCCTTTCATGTGGGCTGGAGATTATCCCAGTCCTGTTTTTTTTTTAGAACTTTTCTACTCCATAAAAAAAAAAAAAGATAATGATTTATGTCTACTAGACCAAGTCATGGGAGCTCCCCAGCATGCCAGCTTGAACCGTAGACAACACAAACCTGCAGGATTGTTCGCTTGCAATATTCGGGGGAGGAGGAGATTGCACTGATAAGGGGGAGTAGGAAAGGATGCTGATGATTATGAGAGCAGGAAAGGAAAAAGCTGCAGGGAAACCGACATCAAAATACTTTTTTTTGTAAACCCGCTTCCTTTTTAAATGACATCTGCACTTGAGCCAGATCTGTAAGAAATTCGTTGTGCTGTTGATAGGAGTGAAAGAAATCAAAATATTTACCAGTTGTAACAATACATGGCTTGTGCTTAGAGAAATGTTTCTTATTTTGCTATACATTGAGAAAGTACTGACTGCACACAAGACTGACATGTCATTTTATACACATGCTGTCAATTAAATGGTGACATTTTTGTGTTTGTATTCGTTTGTAGATTGTTACCTTTGATCTCACATTGAATAGGCCATCTAATAATCTACTATAGGTATATTATATAAAAGGATTCCAAATATTTGTATAATGATTGCTGCTCCTGTTCTTATTATAAACTTAATTATTATTAATATTGTGACTGCCAGTATAGTGTTCTATGTATTGGAGCTAGGATGGATAGAGCTACCTATTCCACCTTATCTTGTTTTTTTTTTTGCATTTTAGTATTTTAGAATTTGCAACATTGTAATTGTTTTATTTTAGAATTTGCAACATTGTCATTCTTTTATCCCATAAATAAAGTAAATTAAATATATTGCTTCTTTGTACAATCTAGGTACCTAGATCAAATATACTATTAAATTCTCTACTGTGTCTGCTTTTATCATTTATTGTACATGATTTATACATTTATCAAATACACCAAAATTGTTTATTTGCAAATGCTGGCTGATGATTTGTACATAAATATTATGGCTTGATACACAAAAGTGAATCTATGGGATGGTAGATAGATTCATTACAACCCCATTTATTATTATTATTATTGTATTATTATTAGAACTGTATACCTTCAATGTGGAGATTCCGATATGGTGCTTCCAAATATTGTCATTTTCAATAAATCTGCCATAACAGAAAGGACGTTTTCTTACAAATAACAGTGACTTCACTGATTCTAGTAAGGTAATATATGTGCTGCTCTTGACAGATGTTCCCAGCACCTGGATTACATGCTATCTTAATTCGATGTTGCTATGTAGGTTGTGTGTAATATATATATATATATATTT